TCTCTCTCATCACTTTAACTTGTGCGCCTAATCATATGAGGGGTTATGTGGTTGATCAGTTTTTTATAAAAACCTGATGCATCATCTCTCCTAGGTGTGTGTAGAATTCGAAAAAAAAAAAGCTCCAACCTTTCCTTCTCTTTCTCCTGTTGCACCATCACCTAACCTCAAGACACCATTATAGTCTTGAGAAAAATAATCCAAACACTTGGTAGCCTCTTCCTTGCATGCGCCTAGCCAGCCACCGAGGATAAGGAGGGATCAAGGAGAAAGAGTTCTCGCTAGCAAGAAGGAGATAACCGTGTGGATCACTATTGGAGGGCGTCATCCTTTTGCACCTACAAGTGAAAAGGTAATTCTGAAACCCTATCGTTTCAACGTAAAGCATTCATACATGGGGTGTATAGGTGGTCTATGCTTCCGCTGCGAAAATCTTTTATTTTCCATCCATGTATGCGCACCATAGTATGACTACGGTGCAGTCTTTCGAACCTTCAGATATATCCCACGTAACTTTTTGAACAAAAACTTCATTATATTCTGGTTTGTATTTGGCTTGGGAATATGTAGGATTATAAATAGGACTGAACTTTCAAAATTATTAAAAAAACCTTATGCAAACACGTGTTCGGGTTAACTAACAATACACATTGCTACAACACTTATGTGAACAATCGTTGGTGAAGGGGAAATCAATAACTAACCATCTTAATCAACTTGTTTCTTCATTTAATTGTTCTGGTCTACTCTTTAATTGTTTTTAAGCAATCTTTTCTTTTATTCTCGGTATGATTATGAAATCAGTCACCTACTTTATTTCATATTATTTAAGCTCTAATTATTGAGAGTATGTTTGGATTAGTTTTTTTTCCTACCGAAGCTACTTTTTAAAGAAAAAAATACTTCTAAAAAAAAATCTATTTAGATGTTTGTTTTAAAAAAAACAGAAGTCATAAAAAAGTTAAAAATTTATTTTTTTAATAGCTAAAAATTTTAACTTTAAAAAAAATAAAAATCAAAGATCAAATATTTTTTCAAAAACTAGATAATTTTTTAAAAATTTAAATAGTTTTAACTTTTATAAAAAATACTTTTAAATAAACAAAATATAAAAAGAAATTTTTTTGGCTCTAATCCACTTGTCAATTTTATTTGGGGAAACTATGCACAATTCTGTACTTTATTTTTTATTCCCACACGCGTGCGCGTGAATATTACATAGCACAACTAACACGCAGAAAGGCAATCACTATATGGACACTCCACCGACAATGCAAATATCTTTTTCGGTACTCAGCAAATTTTATTATGCTCGTTCTAGTTCTTAACAAATGAAAAAACTATTTGTGTTCTCTAAAAAATTCAAAATAAACTCATTTTAGTCTTTTGAGCAACTAATATCAGTCTTTTCTGAATTTATGAGGGATCACAATTTCAACTAAATGAGTTCATTTTAAATTTTTTAAGACCACGAATAGTCTTTTTATTTGTTAGGAACTAAAGCGAGTATTGTGAAATTTGTTGATGATCAAAAATGATATTTACTCTAAAATAAAACACACTACTATGCTGTTAGTTTAAATTAAAATATTATTAATTTGAATCTGAACTGTTGCTATTGCAAAACTACCGAAAATATCATTCGCAGAACATTATTGAATTATTTAATTATTGAATTTTCTCTTTATTTTTTTTTTGAATTCTTTCTGTATATTTTATAATACCATCCACATCATTTCTCTCCGTTATTTAATTGTTATATTTTGGCACATTCAACTACTTCATTATTAGTGAGCATAAACTAAAAAGGAAGAAATAATAAAAACAAATCACACGCTATCATGAAAAAAAATTCCTTTTATATGAAGGTTGATGGATCATTTTATCTTTTATTTAGTTTTTTTTTTTTTTTTATCATTTTGTCCTATTTCGAAATGATATATTAATTTTTTTTTGTAGGCATATTGTCGTTTTTAAATTACGTATCAATATGTTTCCGTCTAATTATATTTTGACTGATATTTACTTTACTAAATGAATTATTTATTCAAATAAATCATTTAATTCGGTGCAAGTATGAGTCAAATTCTGGTCAAATATGAACAAGTTAATCTATAATTTAATTTTCACCAAAATAAAATAAAATAAAATCTATAATTTGATAAAATAAAATAGATTGATATTTAATTTACAAAAATGAACCAAAATGATAAAATACCTTTAAAAAGAACATAATGGTCAATCAATCTTAATATGGACGAAACTAATAATAATTTTTTCTCAAATTAAAGTAAGTGATTATTTTTTATTTGAATTTAATTTAATTTCTCAAATATTCTGTTATTATGAGATTAAGTGTAATATTCTTGAAAAAAACCATGTTATAAAAATCGAGTCAATCGGGCTTAGTCGACTCAAAAGTCGATGAACCAGTCATATAATCAATTCAATTTTCGTATTGTACCGGCCATATTATATAATTGATGTGACCGGTGTGACCCAATTGATTTTTTTGTAGAAAACGATGATCCGGTTGATTCAACCGGTGACCTGGCCAGATTTATAAAAATAAAAAAATGGTTTGTTCTGATCAATTGACGTCTTTTTTTCACTTCACACATAAATGATTTGTTTTCTTTTAAAATATTTGAGTGATTTATAACTTATTAACTTACATAGACTATGTACTTACAACTTTAAAGGGGTGTATTGGATTAAAATTTTAAAAGACTTTTTTTAGATAATTTTTTTTTTAGATTTTAAAAGACTATATAGAATTGGATGGACTTTAAAAACTTCTTTAAAAGACCTTTTTTACGAGCAAGATTTCATAAATTTAGATTTTAAAGGATTTTTTTTATAGAATTTATAAGATTTGAAAGGACACTATGGATTTATAAGATTTTAAAAATCATATGAATTTTAATCAAATATTCAAAATTACAAGAGTCAATAAAAAATAATAAAGAAATGCAATAAAATTAATAAAAAAGTAAGTAAAACATAATATAATATTTAACAAACTTCAAAATTATTAAGCAACAACTCTCCACATATCTAAAGCTATACTAATCTTCCATGCATTAGCATTTTCTCGTTCCTGCTCTTGGGTTTGACCAATGGGTTGGAAATTATCTTCTTCATTTGGTATCAGATCTATGTATATATGATTATAAGATCCAATTTTTTATTTTTTAAAATAATTCTAAATTTGCATATAGAATCTAAAGTTCATGATTAAATTTTATTTGAAATTTTTTGCAATTGATCTTGAAAATCTTGGGGGGGTTTGTTCTACGTGATGAGAGTTTTCTAACCATATATAATATGCATGTTTTCATTGAATATTCTAAGAAAATTTCGAATCTGAATTTTTTGGGTTTTATTACATGAAACTTTAGAAAATTTCTCAAATTTTTTCAATCGATACATTGAAACCATAAATTGCTTTGAGGCTTTTGAAAATAAGTTTTTAATTATCTATTGACACAAAAATTGTTTGAAATCGTTTCTTATAGTGAAGGAATTTCATTCATAATTGTATTGTTACAAAATATAGGATATTATGAAAGTTTCAATTTTTCTTTAAATTGATATTGTTTTATTGATGTAAAACGAAAATTATTTTGAAAGTTTCAATATAGGAATTTTCACTGTTTTATGTTATTTTTAATACAAAATTACACCTTTTTGTGCCAAGAAAAATCGCGACCCATAGCTTGAAAAATCATTTTTTAAACTTCTAAAATCTCTCAAAAATGGCTAAAAAATATGCTAATTTTTAGATAGATTATATTAAAATCTCATTGCTTTGTTGTTTTTGGGTTATTTTGTTATGAAAATCGCTCAAAAATATGTTTTTTTTGGGTTTTGATAAAGCTCTCATGGCGGAACTTGATTTCGAGCAGGTCAAACCTGACAAAGAAAGAAGAAAATATTGCAATAGAGAAATCTTAAGAAATTCTAGGGGTTAGGGTGAGATTGTGAGAGTGGCATCCTATTTATATTTCTTATTAAAAAGTCTCACGAAATCCATACCAATAGAAAATCTATTAAAATCGTTAGATTTTTGAATACCACAAGATTATTTTTTCATTGTTTAAAATCTTGATTGAATACTAACAGATTTGGACGGACTCTAAAATAATCTTTTAAAATTCTAATCGAATACTACGTGGTTTTTTCAATCCTTTAAAATCCTAATTGAATACTTGTGGATTTTTTTGTCCAAAAATAATCCATTAAAATTATTTGAAATCTTAATCCAATACACCCCCTAATATTATCTTGGTGATGCAATATGCATAGAATTTTGATTTGATTTATAGTTAGAGATGTATTCCATTGAATCTGAAACATCATTTTTTTTATATTATCTTAATTTGTTGGATAATAATGTGTAATTTATTATTTTCATATTAAATATTTGAAATCGGTATCATTTTTTTTTATAGATATTAAAGTATTTTATAATTTTTTTAATATAAATTATAGATTTATATATATTTGCTAAATTATGCGATTGAACTAATGATCCATTGAATTAGAGACCCAGTAATGAATTAGAGACCCAGTAATTCAGTACTTGGACAGATTAATAATTGGGCCGGGTTTAATATATGTGGAAAAAAAATAAGTCTTTATTTTAATTACATTTTTAGTATTCTAACTAAAGTTATATATTTAATTTAATTTATCAAATAACCTATAGGTAACCTTAGATCGAAAGTGAAAAGTCAAAACCATTTACAGTACATGTAACAGTTCAGACTTACTGAATTGCTATGTCTGAGTGAAACACTGTTTCAAACTCCAGCTGTATATGAAAGCTGTCGGTGGAGGCATCATAGTCTAAGTTCGTGGTTACGTTGTCCCTTTCGTCGTGTTTAAGCCATTTGTGTTTTTATATATTTACAGCTATACACATGAACATAGAGAGAGAAAGCTAAAGCTTTGAGAGAGAGAGAGAGAGAGAGAGAGATCTTTATGGTGTTACTCTCTTTCTGTCGGTCAATTCGATCTGAGTCTCTTTCTATTTAGTTCTGAATCTTCTGATATTGTTTCATTCCTTGGTGGGAATTGTTGAATTGGTGTAGTGCTAAATCTGTCTCTTTCTCTCACTTTCTTTGTGAGCTTTCAAGTTTGGGGATTTTGATCCAGTTTTGGGCATCAATGCCCAAGAATTTTGTTTGAGGTTGTTCAGAATCTGAGTGATCCATCTGTTTTGGTGGCAAAAATCACATTTTTAAGGTAAGTCTTTGATGCAATGTGCAAAGTTTTGGTTTACGTTTTGTTATTGAGGAAGTTGAGAAAAATTAAAATCGTGTCCTTTTTTTTTTGAAGTAGATTTCAGTTCACTGTTATTGATCTTGCGAAAATATCGAGGGAAAGAATAATTTTTTTTTTTTATTGCCTTCGGCGATTTCAAGTGCATTGTTGCATCAGTCATACACAATGAAATTTTCAGGGTTTAAGTCTGACCCTCAATCAAAGTTCAAGAGATCTAAACTTTTTCCATGTTACAAACTGCTGGTAATGATTGTTGGCACATAGTAATGTTATTCATGGTTTTGTTGTAAGGTCTTATACAGATCCGAGCTTCAATTTCTGTACAAAAAACGGAGCTGCTTCTGAAGTGGGACAAGGAGTGGATTAGGAGAGTAATCTTCCAAACTGATCTTCTCAACAATTAGGAAGTGCATAAGGTTTTTGAGTAATGTGTGTATCTTGTTGAAAGCTTGAACTATCGTTTGATCCCTTTTTGCCATCTGGGCTGAGCTAAGTAGGAACCGATGATGGAGTCAGAAGGAGAAGCTGGGGTGAGTTGTATGAATTTTCCATTTGATTTCCTTCAAATAGAATAAGAAGAAATTGTTGTTTTGGGTGAAATTATTATTCAGTGATACTTAATGACAAATTTTGATACCATTTCCAATTCTCAGGCAAAGCCAATGAAGGCATTAGGTGGCGAAGTCTGCCAGATCTGTGGTGATAATGTTGGGAACACTGTGGATGGTGAACCATTCATTGCTTGCGATTTTTGTGCTTTCCCTGTCTGCAGACCCTGCTATGAGTACGAAAGGAAGGATGGGAATAAGTCTTGCCCCCAATGCAAAGCCCGGTACAAGAAGCACAAAGGTAAAGAAGCATAATATCTGTTGTCTATCATAATGTAATTTTCAATATTCTTAAAGCATCTAGAGCAAGCTTAATAAGACGAAATCAAAATAAGATTTTGATATGCTTGAAAATATGAAGTTTGCTTGGTTGCAAATTGATCTCTTTTATATGAACTGAGTGAGAACGATGCAGATTTTTATTAGAGAATGTATCCTTTTATTTGAAGAGCATTTTCTCAATGAATTATAGTACTGGAATTTCTATAGCTATGACAGGCCTAAGGCTAAAGTCAGTAAACAAAGCCTGTATTCCCAAATGAGTCTTTCACTCTTGGAATCAACAAACAAACAGTGCTGGTAGTTGTAAGCTGTGCCCCTAACATTAATAGTCTGGACTATAACCTTTCGCTCCAGCTAAATCTGCAAAGAATGATGACAGTTTATTGAAGAATTCATTTGTACTTGATGACCTATTCCAATTGCTTGATCTATAATTGGGAGAATACCCCAGCAACTTAAGTAATTGGCTTTTATTATCTATATGACAGTAGTTCCTTGGCCAAGGAGGTTGAGTTCTTAGTAATTAACTAATTTTAGGCTTGTTGATCTACTTACTGCAAACTGCAATACAGGATCATAAAATAATTAGATTCATTTATGCTTAAGAATTTTGTTTTCTCCATGCCAGTGCCCCCTGGTACATAATCCTTTTGTTTTCATCACTAGGATTGTTTACCTGCAAGATAAATGTTGTTCAGGCACACATTGTATTTTTCTTGATATCATGTTTGCTGTTTTGTATGCAATAGCCTATCAATATATTAAGAACCTCGACCTTTTTTTAATGTAATTAGTAATTACCCTGCTTATTTAATTGATTCCAGGTAGTCCTGCAATTCTCGGAGACCAGGAAGAGGATGGTGGTGCTGATGTTGGTGCTAGTGACTTCAATTACAATTCAGAAAATCAGAACCAAAAGCAGAAAATTGCAGAACACATGTTGAGCTGGAAAATGGCATATGGGCGAGCTGAGGAAGTTGGTGCTCCAAATTATGATAAGGAAGTTTCTCACAATCACATTCCTCTGCTGACAAGTGGACAAGAGGTCATTCAACTGGGTTCCTCTGTGATATTTTTATCTACCCCACACTTTAAATGTCCACTTTCTCCATCACCCCCCTTTTAGCTAATATCTCTACTTGGAATTTGAAATTTGATTTTCTTTGATATACCTTCAATTTCAGGTATCTGGAGAATTATCTGCAGCCTCACCTGAGAGGCTGTCAATGGCATCTCCTGGAGTTGGTCAGGGGAAGCGTGTCCATAATCTTCCGTATTCATCTGATGTCAATCAATCACGTATCTCTCTCCTTCCCCCTCTCAAACTAAGTGCTGTTTCGTTTAGTGTCATTGTTATATATCTTTTTCTAGCTCTCTGATAGTGATTTTAGGTGTTTGGTTATATTCCTTGTGCAGCAAATATTAGGGTTATGGATCCAGGATTGGGCAATGTAGCATGGAAAGAAAGAGTTGATGGCTGGAAAATGAAGCAAGATAAGAATGTTGTTCCAATGAGCACAGGCCAAGCTACTTCTGAAAGAGGAGCTGGAGATATTGATGCTAGTACTGATGTGCTTGTGGATGATTCCTTGTTGTGAGTACTTCTTTATTTAATTATAAAAATCTGTGCTGCTTCATTTCTGTTATAAGCCTCTTTACTCCTTGCTCTTTTGGTATCAATGTGCTATTTTGAATGTGTCGTGTTGTGTCATGACTGAAACGTGGAGAGTTTGCAATCCCATTCTGTTGTAAATCTTTTTTATGGTTGTGTTGAAAAAAGCAAATCCATTCAATCAAGTGTCTTGTTTACGAGCCCAATGCTTGTCCCTGGTTTTCAGATTTAAGTGTTAGACAGGATTACATCATTTTTTTATTATGCAGGAATGATGAAGCTCGGCAACCTCTCTCCAGGAAGGTCTCTATTCCATCGTCTAGGATAAATCCATATCGTATGGTCATTGCCTTGCGGCTGGTTATTCTCTGCATTTTTTTGCATTATCGAATAACAAATCCTGTGCCCAATGCATTTGCGTTGTGGTTGATATCAGTTATATGTGAGATTTGGTTTGCCATATCTTGGATATTGGATCAGTTCCCGAAGTGGCTCCCTGTGAACCGTGAAACATATCTTGATAGGCTTGCATTAAGGTAGGGCCTTTCTAGACTATCACAACTTTCCCTCTCTGTACAAGGAAAACATCATTTGAAATATGCTGGGCCTAAAAGTGATAAGTGAGTTAGTTAGGAAATTCCTCTAGAGAGGAATAGAGGAAACTATCTCACTTATCACTTTTACTTGTAATTTTCTTTGTTATTTCTACTATATATCACTGTTGTTGGTGATTATTACTGTAATTTGCATCTTTTCCTTGTCTTAGAAGTTGGAACAGTCTTGTAGGATTTTATCTCCAATCTTTCATGTTAATAGGGTACTGGTACCATCAAAATATTTAACAGTTTTTCCTTCATTATGTGGTATTCTTTTAATACAAAATCCTTGTGAGTTGCAGATATGATCGGGAAGGGGAACCATCACAGCTAGCAGCTGTTGACATTTTTGTCAGTACTGTTGATCCATTAAAGGAGCCCCCACTTGTGACTGCCAATACTGTACTGTCTATTCTTGCTGTTGACTACCCGGTGGATAAGGTCTCCTGTTATCTCTCTGATGATGGTGCTGCTATGTTAACATTTGAAGCTTTGGCTGAGACATCAGAATTTGCAAGGAAATGGGTTCCCTTTGCTAAGAAATATAGTATTGAACCCCGGGCACCTGAGTGGTATTTTGCAAAAAAGATTGACTACTTGAAAGATAAGGTTCAACCATCATTTGTCAAAGATCGTAGAGCAATGAAGGTAAAAGATTGACTTACAGATGGATTACTGTGCTGTTTGGGCTTGAATGTGCGCTACCCACTACTCAATTATCTTAGAGGTTTCTTTTAATGTTACTTCCTTTTTGTTTCACAGAGAGAATATGAAGAATTTAAAATTCGTGTCAATGGACTTGTTGCCAAGGCACAAAAGGTTCCTGATGAAGGATGGGTGATGCAAGATGGTACGCCATGGCCTGGAAACAACACCAGAGACCATCCAGGAATGATCCAGGTAGTTTATTTATTGAATATTTTCGTTTAGTTGTTTTCTAATGACGAAGATGAATGCTTACCACAGTATTTTGTGCTCATTCATTATATATGGAATTACCTCAAAAGTTTCATCTAGCTAGGCAGAGTAAATTTTAGATTAGAGAGATGAAATTATATATATACCTGTTGATTCTAATATTTACTCTCTGAATTTCTGTAAAAAGAGAAAGAAAAATAGTTACTCTTTTGAATGATATTTATGTGTATTTGTTACTTTCAGTAGTTAATTTACATATAACAAGTCTTATGCCATGCCATGCCTTTGTTAGATGTTGGTTAGGAATTTGAGGAAGTTTTAAGCATGCTATTTGCTAAGTTTCCGTGCTCCATGTAGGTTTTCTTGGGCCAAAGTGGAGGACTTGACACTGAGGGTAATGAACTTCCACGTTTAGTTTATGTTTCTCGTGAAAAGCGTCCAGGGTTCCAACATCACAAGAAGGCTGGTGCCATGAATGCACTTGTGAGTAACTATAGAAAATGTGGAAATTACATATCTCCTCCACCCATATGATTATCTTACGGCTGGTGATTATTATAACTGTTTCAGGTTCGAGTATCAGCCGTCCTTACTAATGGACCTTTCTTATTGAATCTTGATTGTGATCACTACATAAACAATAGCAAGGCCTTGAGGGAAGCTATGTGTTTTATGATGGATCCCAACCTTGGGAAAAATGTTTGCTATGTCCAGTTTCCACAGAGGTTTGATGGTATTGATAGGAATGATCGATATGCTAATCGTAATACTGTTTTCTTTGATGTAAGTATCTTGAACCATATTAATTACTGTTATGTTTTAGGCAAAAAATTTTATGTTAATGATATTCAACTTCTTGTAGCATGGATCATCCCTTGTACTTTACATATATTTCATTTAACTTCTTTGTGACACATATTTTCTCCTTCTTGTCTCTTTCTCTACAGATAAATTTGAGAGGTTTGGATGGCATTCAAGGCCCTGTTTATGTGGGTACTGGATGTGTCTTCAATAGAACAGCTTTATATGGTTATGACCCTCCTATTAAGCCCAAGCATAAGAAGCCTGGGTTGCTTTCTTCACTCTGCGGTGGAAATCGAAATAAGAGCTCAAAATCTAGCAAGAAAGGCTCAGACAAGAAAAAATCTAGCAAGCATGTTGACCCTACTGTGCCCATCTTCAGTCTAGAGGATATAGAAGAAGGGGTAGAAGGTATGCCTGTTGATTTATTTTTCTTGCCGCCTTTGTGCATTTCATTGACAAGTCTACAATTTAAGCTATTTTTTCTACATGGAGTTATATTAAGATTTTGATATATTGTTATTCCATTGATAAAAAGAAGAGTACAGTAGATTGCTTTGCAGATTTTGTGCGAGCTTCAACTTCACTTCCCATAATATCTTAAATTGACTGCCCATCTGTGAAATTGCGTTTACCTTATTAACCCTGCACATTTCTCCTAATCATTTTATAATTTTTTTGGTGTGTATAGCAATTTATCGTGAGTTGTTTTAATTGTTTATCTCTTTTCTTTTCTTAAACAACCTTTATATTCAGGTGCTGGATTTGATGATGAGAAATCACTACTCATGTCACAAATGAGTCTCGAGAAAAGGTTTGGTCAGTCTGCTGTTTTTGTTGCCTCTACACTTATGGAAAATGGAGGTGTTCCTCAGTCTGCTACTCCAGAAACTCTTCTTAAGGAGGCAATACATGTTATCAGCTGTGGTTATGAGGATAAAACAGAATGGGGAAGTGAGGTATGAGTTACATTATGTTTAATGCTCTTTTATATTTCTTGTTCCCAGTTGCATACTGATGGAACCCCAGACAATTAACAGCAAAAATTAACTAAAAATGACAGTATATTCGATTAATATATACTGAGAAATGGATTTCCCCTTTACAATTAACAGCAACACACTACTACTTGATACTACTACCTAACTCAGAAATAAGACTCACAGTACTCAATTACAAGATAGAAATATTGGAAATAACAATGCAGAAAGATAAGCTCCAAAGGTCTCAACACACCCTCAAAGCCAAACACCTAGGCCTCGAGATCCCTAGAGATCCTTTCCCAAAATCCCATTCACCATTTGCTTAATTTCATGCCCCTTCACACTCCCACACTCCCCTCCTTATATCCTATTATTTGAGAATATTCTAGAATCACTCTCTAATTAACTAACTAATTATCTCAGGCCCATCATTAATTCAGCCAGGCCCATCACATACCATTATCCGATTATTGCCAATAGATTAGTGCATTCAGAGACCAAAGATCCAATAAATTAATCTTAATATAAAATACGCATGGTTGCCTGTAATGATATCAATATTTTACATGAATGCTTCCATGTGTATCTTTTATGATGAGTCATGCATGAAATGGTACTATGCTGGCAGAGAAAGAGATTTTGGAGCAGGGCTTGCCAAAGCATGAATCAATATAATGCTGGCTTTTTAGAGTCCCCTAATATTTTCCCCTATTTATAATGGGGAACCTTTAAAATGTCTCCTATTCTATGTAATATAGACATGAGGCATAATTTTTTCCCAGATTGTTCTTATTGATTTATTGAACGAGATGGGACGAGGGTTATAGGATTTAGCCTGGATCAACCCTATAGAAGCACCTAAATTGTCAGGTGCTGTGAACATTTCATCCATGATCCACCTCCCATCTGTAGCCATGGGGACTTTGCCTGCATAACCAATTTGTTTTGTTGAACTTCTCTTCATGGCCACTATCCATAGATGTGACCGTCCCAGTTCGTGGTTTCTCGACTCTGGATAAAAAATTAAAAAGCTTAGTTAAAACTCATATGGAAAGGTTTTTTTTGTGTGTCAACTCTAACATTCTTTAGTTTATTAGTATCTTCTGTATTGAATATGGGTGCCTGTAATGTAATGATTGTGTTATTAGAAAAAAAAAAATGAGGATGCATTTATATAATTATCTTCAAAGATAATCACTATTTGTCTTCTGTTCCACAGATAGGATGGATTTATGGTTCTGTCACAGAAGATATTCTTACTGGATTTAAGATGCATGCCCGTGGTTGGAGGTCCATATACTGCATGCCTAAGCTTGCAGCATTTAAAGGTTCTGCTCCTATCAATCTTTCAGATCGTCTTAATCAAGTGCTTCGTTGGGCTTTAGGATCAGTGGAAATTCTTCTAAGTCGACACTGTCCCATCTGGTATGGTTATAGTGGAAGGCTAAAGTGGCTTGAGAGGTTCGCATATGTGAACACCACAATTTATCCAATCACTTCCATTCCCCTTCTCATGTATTGTACCTTACCCGCAGTCTGTCTCCTCACTAACAAGTTCATTATTCCACAGGTTTGTGACTTCTTCATCAGCATAATTCTGTAAATAGCATTTTCCTTATAGTCTTATTTTGGATAATGTTACCTGATTGTGGCTATGAGTGGGATATATAACTAAATGCAAAATAAATAATAATAACAGAGAGAGAGTGAAAGAAAAGTATGACAATATTCAATCATCATTTATAATAAACCATAAGATGAAGTGATGACAATATGAGGATTTACAGATGGCCAGAGCTATCAATCATCATTTATAGAAAATCTTCAAAAGTTGTTTCTTTTATGGGAGAATTACAATATAGGATATAGTGAACATATTTCCAATTTATGATAGATTAACCAAATAGTTATGAATGTCCTTCATATATTGGTCATATATTTTCTTGATTTAGAATTCTTTGGGCTAATGCATCCTAAAATTGGAAACATATTCATGAGGATATCTTACATTGTAATTCTCCCGTATTTTCCTCATGACAGTTTGAAACTGGCACTCTAGACCTTGTAAATTGAAGCACCTCTTATGCAAACATAACACTTCTCAGAATGTGATCTTGTGTGACACTATTGAAACTTTTGTTTTTTGGGTACATATTGTAATGATTTTTATTTTTTTTGCCTTGCAGATTAGTAACATTGCGAGTATATGGTTTATCTCTCTCTTTCTTTCCATCTTTGCAACGGGCATCCTTGAGATGAGGTGGAGCGGTGTTGGAATTGATGAGTGGTGGAGAAATGAACAATTTTGGGTTATTGGTGGTGTTTCAGCCCATCTTTTTGCTGTGTTCCAAGGTTTACTCAAAGTGCTTGCTGGAATTGACACTAACTTCACGGTTACCTCAAAGGCATCAGATGAAGATGGAGACTCTGCAGAACTCTACATGTTTAAATGGACAACACTTCTCATTCCACCCACAACTCTTCTCATCATAAACCTTGTGGGGGTTGTTGCAGGGATCTCTTATGCCATTAACAGTGGATACCAATCATGGGGTCCCTTGTTTGGTAAGCTTTTCTTTGCATTTTGGGTGATCATCCATCTATATCCCTTCCTCAAAGGTCTCATGGGACGCCAGAACAGAACACCAACCATTGTTGTGGTCTGGTCCATTTTGCTTGCATCCATTTTCTCTCTGCTATGGGTCAGAATTGACCCTTTTACAACAAGAGTCACTGGTCCTGATGTTGAGCTGTGTGGAATTAACTGCTAGAGAAATTAAAGCTGGCAGATTGAATAACTTGTCACTCACCTGGCTCAACCAACAACAAAAGCTTGGTGGAAATGTTGTGATTGTCTAGCAATTCTTTTGTTTACAGCTTTTGAATTTTTTTTTTCTCATGCATGTTTAAATTATGTGCTGTTGATGGTTGATAAAGAAGAAATTAAATTAGAATTGAATTGTGTAAGATTGTTATTTTTTTGTAATATTTTGAACATACCTTCATTTTTCTGGAGAAGCTGTTTTTATCGTAATTAAATTATTCATCAGATCACATCCTTGTATACATACATCGCTGCTATGTTACTGTGTTATTCTTCTGATTTCGTTGCAATACAAAATAATTAACTTTTTCCCTCTCTTTGCTAGCTCCAAAACTTGCTGTTTTATCATCCTTACGAGTTCTGATTTCTCCTATCCCTCTTTGTCCCGTTGGAAACCAATAATTTTAGCATCGCTCGAATTCATGATGAAAAAGAGATGACGTCAAAGATCCAAAAAAGGGGAAAAAACAACTTAAAGTTCACAAATTGACAATGTTCCATTCATTGATCTTTTACGTTAATTATTACTTATTGTCCAGCTTCTAGGAGTAAAACCTGTTATGTCTGTTGATTTTAGAAATCTACAAGGCCTAAGCTTCTGTTCTTGAGTGAATATAATCGATATAATATAATGAAGCTGCATTCTAGATGCCCCTATCCACTTGCATATGTCTATAATATATTAAACTGACTCGAGTGGAAAGTAGATTTATTCAGCGCTTACTATAAGTCTATAACAAAATAGTGATTTTGAAAGCCAACATCTTTCTAAACTTTATATCCCCGATTGGTCTAACAAATAAAGTGTTTCTGGGGTGAATAATATCAAATTATCAATAACAATGTTTGCATCGATTGTCACCTGCTTAAACACCCTTTCTACGACCCGAGTTAATTTATCCTAGCCAGTATAATTGGAAGGTTCAAAAAGGGATCGGCAAGGCGTGGTTCAAATAATCTATGAACTAGATACTGTTTCTACTTGAAAGTTACAAGGTCTATCATTTGTGACACCAGAAAAATTATACTTCTAGTTTTACTATTTTAGGAGTGGGGTGAACTAGTGAGAAAAAGTGATCCTAGAATTTGTACCTGTGAGCCATTTAATCAAGTCTTCAAGTATCTTTCAACCTTCCTTCGGATAAAACCTTCTTTAAAGTGGTTTTGTTTCTGAAGTGTACAAGTAAGAATAATGAATTAAAATTACGTACTTTAAATTAAATTATAAATAGATGTATCGTTAATTGGGTACTTTAAAATAAATTCACTTTATATTAACTTTTCCCTTTCCATGAAATTGTTATCTAAAGAAGCTTTTCAAAGAAGTGGGCGAAAAATATTTACCATAAATAAATTAAAAAAGAGAGGGAGGGGGGATTTAGCTAGTCGTTTATATAAGTAATAATAATAGTGTTAAATGCCACAGCCTATTTTGTGACAAGTCCAAAAAAATATAAAGCGAACAAATCACTACTGTTTAATCAAGTGATTTGTTATATATATATATATATATATATATATATATATATATATATATATATATATATATATAATGTAGGGAAATGGTTTACCTTTGAATGACTTACCCCACATGCTTCTTCTTTTTTTATCATTCATCCCATGTGCTTTTTTTCATCCAATTCCCACCTTAATAGCGTTATAATTAATATGATTATTCTATCATTCTTATAAAAACATTCTTTAACTAGCTTATGTAATTTTTTTCTCCAAGCTCTGCAAAAAATTTTAACCATACAAAATTTTTCCAGTTTCAGAAAAAATTTACGAAGTTCATATAAATAGGTAATAAATTTAATAACCAGCATTTATATGGTATCCATTTTATCATGATTTTGATATAATTGATTTTGAAAGAATTAGTCATTTAAATAATTAATTTTAAAAAATTAATGTAAATATAGGTGAAGTTTCACACATAGAGATCGACACATATTTCCGAGAGAATTCTGACATTATTAAGGCAACTTGAATCTGGCACAAGGGCGATGATGAAAGTTTCTTAACTTTGGAATGCGTCAAAGTGCCAATCGTTTTAAAGATAATATTCACTTCACAATTCAATTTTAATTATTTTTTGTTTTCAATTTCTTTGTGTTTTGTTCGGATAACAATGCTGTGTACAAAGAGAATATAATGGTGTTAATTAAGTATATAATAATTATGTATATGCTGAAATTTTTTCCAAAAAATTTACACAATTTCATCACCTTATTACTGGAACTTCACAAATTTTGTATGGTTAAAAACCCTTACAGAGTTTGGGGAAGAAGATGATACAAGGTAGTTGAAGTGTATTTTTTTAAGAAGGGTAGAATAATCATATTAATTAGAAAATCTAATAATGTTAAGGACAGACTTGGATGGAAAAAAACACAGGAGTAAATAATAATAATAATAAGCATAGGGGTAGGTGATTCAAAGACAAACCACATGAGGATATTAATATATTAAATTGTCCAAGAAACATAATTGTATAAATTGAATAGGATGTTAACGTAGTTATCATGCATAGGCGCAATACCCTAAGATTCCTTATTTATATGTTACGGTCAAGGATAATGAGCCCAAGCAGAGGAGAGCTGGGGCTCCCTCATGGGCCAAGGGCTTTATCAATGATGTGAAGTAGGGCCATTAGTATCAGAAGTCTATTGTTGCGTTGTTAGTTTGTTGTGTTAGTTCGCTGACGTGGCTATGATTTGTGAGTCTTGTTAATATTTTTTCTCTGTTCATCTTGTTCTTCCCAATTGAGATACCAAGATAGGATCTGCTATCTTATCATTGGTGCTTTTATCTATGTTGGGCTCAACAAGAAATCCACAATGCGCGTTCAAGAATTAGCTGAAGAGTTTGGAGCATTTCAAATTCGCATCGATTAGAGTTTGGAAGAAATGCAAGTTAGGGTCGAGCAACGGTTCAATGAACATCAAATCAGTTCGTCAGTATCAATGTACAACTTCAACAGATACATGTAGCAATTGTTGGTGCTGAGGTTCATTCAGGTGAAAATGTTCAATTGCGTGGTGCGCAATCTTCATTTTTCACTGATATTGTGGGAACACAGCAACCACGACTGGATCCTAATGATCCAAGATCATTGATGAAGTCAATTCGTATAGAGCTTCCTGTATTCAATGGCACAGATCCAAATGGCTGGATTTTTCGCATGGAATTATACTTTGGCTTACAACTAGTACTTGATACCATTAAGGTTCGATTAGCTGGGATGAAAATGGAGGGTTTGGCGAGGCCATGGTTCCACTGGTTGTTCAATGGAGGTTCTATTCATTCTTAGGAGGATTGGAAGCTGGCGGTTCGGCAGAGATTTGATGGAACTACATATCAGGATTTACGGGGAGTGTTTTCGAAGTTGACACAAGATGGTGCACTAAGTGACTATATCAGAAAATATGAGGCTTTGATTAATCAAGTCATAGAGTTCTCTAATGAGGTGCTGATGTGTTTCTTTGTATCAGGTTTGATTCCTGATTTACAGAGAGCTATTCAAGTTCATTCTCCCACATCCCTCAATTAGGCTATGCAACTAGCTATTACATACAATGCTCATTTTGTGGAATTGCGTTCGTCTTTCTCGTCGTCAAGTAATAAGAGGAATTTTGTTAAAAACTCTTATACTGTGGAGCAACCAATCCCCCTTACTACAATTGCTCTGAACCAAAAACCTGTGGTTCCTACATTTCCTTCAATTGTGCTTGTTAAGAAGTTGGCTCATGAAAAGTTGTAGAGGAAGAGGGATTTGGGGCTTTGCTATACCTTGTGAAGAGAAATGGACTTCACGACATAGATGCAAAGGAAAACTCTTCCTCATGGCGGGAGATTCGGAGGAATTAGCATCTGATGCAAAGGCAAATTGTTTGGCAACCTAAAGTGGCACAAGAAGAATGAAGCAGCTCTGCATTCACTTGAAGGTGAGCGTAATTTTGGGAATATCAAGGTTGAGTGGTTTGGGACGAGTTCTATATGACTACGAGGAGTTGTCTTTAAAGTTTATGACTAAGAATGGTAGGGTGATTTTACAAGGAGAAAAATCTTGCAAGGAGTTGGAGTCAATTGGCCCACAATGTTTGTATATGCAAGGGAAGAGCACCTTTGATATATTACCTCATCTATTGAAGTTAAAATGGATACTCCCTGTTTCCATTTGGGATATCTTGGGTGAAATTTCAACCAGCTTTTTAGCTTCCACGGGAGTTGCCACCTACTAGGGGTTGTGATCATGCTGTCCATTTGGTTGAGGGAGCGAAACTTATTAATGTGAAACCATACAAGTATGCACATCATTAAAAGGCAGAGATTGAGAGGCAAGTCTCAAATTTGTTAACCTCTGGTTTTATCAAGGAGAGTATGAGTCTTTTTCTTCACCTGTGTTGCTTGTGAAGAAGCAAGATAACTCTTGGAGAATGTGTATTGATTACTGAGCATTGAATAGAATTATAATTAGAGATCGCTTCCCAGTTCCAACAATTGATAATCTTTTAGATGAACTTAAGGGAGAAAGTGTCTTTTCCAAGTTGGATTTGAGGAGCGAGTACCACCATATCCTATTAAGACCTAAAGATACCCCTAAAATAGCCTTTAGGACCCATGAAGGGCACTATAAGTTCTTGGTAATTTCGTTTAGTTTGACTAATGCCCCTTCAACTTTCCAAGCGGCCATGAATCGCATGTTTAGGCTTTTCCTTTGAAAATTTATTATAGTGTTCTTTGATGATATCCTCATTTGCATTGGATCTATTGAAAAGCATTATGAACATCTTTCTGTGGTTTTGAGCTATCTGCAAGAGAATCATTTTATGGTGAAGCTTAGCAAGTGTGAATTGCTTTAATTGAAATTGATTATCTTGGTGACTTGGTGTCTGGGGATGGAGTAAAAGTTGATCCAAGAAAAATTTCTTTTATGTTGCAGTGGCCACAACCAAGGAATGTAAAGCAGTTGAGAGGTTTTATTGGACTCACATGGTACTATAGACGATTCATTAAGCATTGTGCCGTAATAGCTTCCCCTTTGACTGATCTGTTGAAGGGAGATTCATTTAATTAAAGTGAGTTAGCTAAGAAATTGTTTAGGGAATTAAATGAAACCATGTCACAAACTCCAATGATGATTTTACCTGACTTTTTGTTGCCC